AACATCCAGTCTACCACGGACGTTCGTCTCGAAACTTTCGTTGCTACTCCGCAACTCGGATTTTCGCGTCGCGAAGCTACCGCTTCGGTACGGGGGCGGCACCTAAACAAAACTCTGCGGATTCCGTGATTGGTTGAGTGATATTTGATGTTCTTCGGGTACCTACCTTTCGAATTTTTATGTAAATAGTGATGTGTTTCCATGCTGACAATCTGTGATAACCAGTGACTAAGAAACTAAAATAAAACGGTAAATGTTTTTTTCAGTCCATCGACGAACGTTTTTTGTAATGCTCTGAATAATTGTTTACTGTTTTTTATAATTATAATTTTATGATTAGCCAACCGACTAGAATTTTCAAATATTTCATTATGAATAATAAAAAATGTATTATTAAGGACTTGGTTATCGGATAAAATCTTCTATTTGACATTGTCTCTTAGAGCGGTCCGTAGTATATAGGCTCTTCGTTGAATAAAATACATACGAACACTTCTGGAAGCACCAAATGAAGCAGAGTGTTATCAACCAATATTGACACATATTCATTTAAAAAAGTTGGTACTGAGAATAAAACTAGGGATGATTGTGAGTATGAAAACTCCTTAAGTTATTGGATATCCAAAAACCAGTTTTGGAGGTTTTTGAGGTTAGACAACGATGTGGGTGATATAAAGTCTGTTTTGACCTGAATGCAACACATACAGGTGACATGAAATATTTGGATCTTTTGACAGACATGAGTGGCAATGTGTTGGACAATTCCTAGTGCAGTGCAGACGCAGAGTACAAGAGACAAAAGCCTGTAAAAATTGAATGAAACGTTGGGGGTTGGCAGGATTTAAATTTAAAAAAGCGCTTCAAGGAATTTTCACGAGCGCTGTGTCTTTCAGCTACAGTTTCCTTAAGATATTATTAGAAATAAATTGTTATTACATATTTAATCTAACAGGGAATCAATATGAGAACGCACACTTTTTTGTAAATCATAAGACTTCTGGTAGAACTTTTAAGATTTGGCAGCTCCCACTCCCACTTTCCACTCTTCAAAAAGTTTTGGGCGCTCACTCGTACCCACGATTTCCTTTGTCGAAGCTGTTTTTTGCTTTTTCTGAATTTGAGGAGCACATTTATATGCTTGGCCCTACTCAGAAACATTCCTGTGGATGTCCATGGTCATTGGTACAATAGTTGAATAGAATAGTGATAGACTGTAACTTTCGCATTTGTATGTATAGTCTAATCATATTAGACGAAAATACCCCTGGTTTGCGAAATAATTGTAAAGTCTGGTTTCATTGCTGCAAGTTGTTCAAGGGGGTATTCAAAACATGGACGCATAAAATGGGTACACCAATTTTTGTGGGAAAACTTTTTATTCGACAACAAAGAATGAGAAAACGTGTTTATTGGGATTCCAATCGAAAGTGTTGGCAGGAACAAAACAACTCTTAACATAAGATTTTTAGATATTTATGAGAACTACAGAATGAGACCACACGTAAAAAAATCCGACTAATAGCAAAAAAGTTATGTCCGAAAACCAAGGAAACCTGCGGGTTTTGGCACTTGTTGGAAATGCGACGATGGTTTTTCGCAGATATTTGCAATTCTTTAAATTCGTAGTATTCCCACTTCTAAATAACCACCACAAAATTGGAGTAGATTGGTCAAGTAGTTTTTGAGAATTTCTAATTGTTTATCCCAAAACATCTGTTTTCCAGGGTTAGTTCAAAGGGTATTTTATAGATCAATACACTAGTTTACCTTGCCGATATGAATCGCAAACCATTCCGGAAGATAAATGTTATTTTTATACAAAAAAGTATGGGTTACCTTTTTCCTTCTAAACACATTCAAACATTTCGTATTTGTGAGTTATTCGCAACTAAAGATGATAGCTACATCCGAATTGTTTTAAAATGTGTATAGTAATGTTCTTCGAATATCGTAGCTCATTTGTTAAATTACTCACAAATACGAAATTTTGAATTTGTTAAGGAGAAAAAAACAACCTTTGTTTTTCCCAGAAATATATTTATCTTTCGGAATGGTTTGTGATTTATCAAGGTAAACACGTGTGTTTTGCTATTAATGCTCTTTGAATGAACCCTGTATATTGCTCAATAAACTAGTAGTGATAATCGGAAAACAGATGTTTTGGGATAAACAATTAGAAATTATCAGAAACTAGTTGACCAATATACTCCAATTTTGTTGCTGTTATTTATAAGTATGAATCCTATGGATTTGAAGAATTTCAAGCAGTTGCGTGAAATTATCGTCGCATTATCAAGTGCCAAAACCTGCATTCTGCCTTGTTTTTCGGCCTTAGTAGATCTTTTTACGTGTGGTCTCATTTTGTAGGTCTCATAAATACCTAAATATCTTATATGAAAAGTTTTTCCGTTCCTGTCAATACTTTGGATTGGATCCCAAAATACACGTTTTCTCATTTTTATACAAAAAAGTATGGGTTACCTTTTTCCTTCTAAACACATTCAAACATTTCGTATTTGTGAGTTATTCGCAACTAAAGATGATAGCTACATCCGAATTGTTTTAAAATGTGTATAGTAATGTTCTTCGAATATCGTAGCTCATTTGTTAAATTACTCACAAATACGAAATTTTGAATTTGTTAAGGAGAAAAAAACAACCTTTGTTTTTCCCAGAAACATATTTATCTTTCGGAATGGTTTGTGATTCATATCGGCAAGGTAAACACGTGTATTTTGCTATTAATGCTCTTTGAATGAACCCTGTATATTGCTCAATAAACTAATAGTGATAATCGGAAAACAGATGTTTTGGGATAAACAGTTAGAAATTATCAGAAACTAGTTGACCAATATACTCCAATTTTGTTGCTGTTATTTATAAGTATGAATCCTATGGATTTGAAGAATTTCAAGCAGTTGCGTGAAATTATCGTCGCATTATCAAGTGCCAAAACCTGCATTCTGCCTCGTTTTTCGGCCTTAGTAGATCTTTTTACGTGTGGTCTCATTTTGTAGGTCTCATAAATACCTAAATATCTTATATGAAAAGTTTTTCCGTTCCTGTCAATACTTTGGATTGGATCCCAAAATGCACGTTTTCTCATTCTTTGTTGTCAAATAAAACGTTTTCCCACAAAAATTGGTGTACCCATTTTATGCGTCCATGGTTTGAATACCCCCTTGAACAACCAATAAAAGGAGGCTGCAAACGTATTAGCTACGTTCAAAGTGGGTGGATCGCAGCCCGCCATGTAGCAGGGATGTGAAAGAACTCATGACTGACATGTGTCGAATTGCTAAATGCCATACAATTCCACACTAAATGTTTCATGCAAAAATCATTTAGTTCTAACAATGGGTCACATTATATGCTGCATAAACTGTAAAAACAATGCAAAATACCATACTTGCTAATTTTATACGTTTCATAGAGCATACAAATAAATGGATAGATGCTGTAAAGAACAAAAAAATAAGCAACATAGGAAGATGTTGGTGAATATATTTAATTTTTACTATACTGTGTGCAAAAATTATATATTATATACAATATTTCTTGTTTTTTGTGTATGTTACTGTTTTCAACGTTTTTATATATTGTGGCTCATTCTTCAACATATAATTTTGTTTGGTATTTTGTTGACTAATTTAAAAATTTCTCGATATACATATATTTGTTCACTCAGCTTCTAAATACGACTCATGTTCACGTAGATGAAAAAATGGTGGATTCGCCCAGGTTTTTTAGGCTTTTAGAGAAAATGTTGCCTATTGTTCGCTGTATAGTATAAGTTAACCAAATAAACTTATAGAACAGACAGTGGCGCTCCCAGGGTTTCAGTCTAGGAGGGGTAAAATGGAAAGTAAATTATCAGTGTGACGTACTGAAGTCTTATAATGATCTAACCTTAAAAGCATGGACATATGCAGACATATGAATTTGTTACAGTAATTTCTGTAGAAAATACATACATTTTTTTAAAATTTTGAATCATACGAAATCAAAGTGTAAATAAAGCAAACCAATCTCGTGCAATCTTCATATATTAAGACAAAAATGCAAAATAATATAATCTATCACTGACTTTTCTACATAACAATGTCAGCCAAATAAAAAAACAACCAAAAATACATCTTCATGAAAAAATAACAATAAGAAATATGTTACGACTTATATAAAGCATAAAACTGAATGTAAATCAAAATAAAATTCTTAATCATGAGAAAAACTCAAAAAATATTCATTGCATAACTAACTACATTCTCTTAGCCAGTCTCAAAGAACAAAAACATATGAACCATGAAACTACATCAGTTCACAGTCTCAAAATAAAACAATCATTACATTAGCTTAGAAAGTGATTTGAACAGAACTTGAACAGACTTTTATATCAATCTGCTGGCCAGTAAATAAAACCACATATCTTGATTGGATACTTTGGAAAAGATCACCGTGGTGGTTTAAACGTCAGTAAACCCTTAACTACATCTGCTTTTTTATTTATTGGCCAACAGAAGGGATTTGAGAGACAACCTTAGGCAAAGTTCAGGTGTTATCATATTACAAAATCAAGGCGCCTATTCCTTTTGCTGGCGAACCGATCTATGATTGTATTCACGTCTATTTTAATATCTCTATGCATATACAAAAAAGCTAAGCCCACTAATCGCTCTTGTAACATAGTGGAGCGCAGCCAAGTTTTTATCATCTTTAGATGGGATAAACTTCTTTCAGATGTCGCAACACTTACCGGCAATGAAATCAATAATTGTAGGCATCTATTAATTGAAGGAAACATGTTTTCATCACATGATAAATACAGTGACATTACACTCTATAATATCTTGTGTACTGTGTACGTGACTTCCAAAGGTCAAATTCTGCTTTTAATCTGGTACTTATTAAATTTTTGTTTTCGTTTAGTCCTTGCAAATATTTAGAGATTGTTTCTAATATGTCCATTACTTCAGCTTGAGTTTTTGAATCAAATACTGACGCAACGAAAATTAAAATTGTATATATTCAAAGATTCTTCATTGAACCGGTATACCAAATCCTGTAATATATTATCTACCAAAGGGACATATACGTTCAGTCTGTGATGATTTTCCTTTTCAGACGATGTTCGGTCTGTTCATTTGCCTGCTTGTTATTCTTGACATAGTTCAATACCCAGGGTTTCATGTGATTTCATTATAGATGCGAATAGTATTCTAAAGCGTTTTTCGGAATTTGCGTGTCTTTCTTGTACAACTGAAATAATATTTCCTATGAGTTTGACAGCGTATTGTTTGTCAATTGTTTTCGATTGTAAAATCTTACTCAGGTTGACTGTTAAAGCTAATATATCACACAAACACTTTAATGATACGATAAATTGGGTGGAAGTAATAGCAGTCTTCAAATACTGCGCTTTTGAAGAAGCTTCGCGGTTTTTCCAATTTGATATAATATCTAGTACCTCTACAATTTTCTCGAATTTGCTTTCAAATTGGAGCATAGAATCATGTCTCTCGATCCATCGTATTTCGCATATACTATAAATTTGATATCCGTCTAGTTTTCTTTTTAATACTGTATTTCTTTTAGCGGATGCTTTGAAGAACGCAATTACCTCCTTCATTATACCTACAGTATTTCTTACTGCTTGGACACTGCTGCTTTTTGAAATCGGAAGATTCAAGGCATGATTTGCGCATGGACTTTTTAGAGCATTTGGCACACATTTTTGCAATTACACTACAGCGCCCTTCTGTTCACCTAACATTAGGCTACACGTATCAGTACCAATGCCCACACATAGTTTTGAGTCCAAGTTATTGGTTTTAATGAAATGCTTGACTGTTTGAGCAAAAATTTGAACTGTGAGTTTAGACTCCATTGTATCTTTATCAGAACTTAGCAATCCACAAATCCCATGAAGTCCTCATAAATATGTTTTTGATAACAATACCGCAATACGATTGACATTTATGATTTATGGCTAATATCTGTAGATTCGTCAAATATAATACTGTAATACTGACTTTGCCTGATGCGACTTAAAACTATATCCAAGATTTCTTCGCCACGACATTCTATAATTTCATTTTGGTTGCGGCTGCTTATGTACGTAGCATGCGCTTTTGAATTCTGAAAGTTTCTTTCAATAAATTGTCGCCGCTCTCGACTCTAAGCCGTATTAGTTCTCTAAAATTCCTTCATTATTAAGGTCATCCTAGTCATTCGTGCTGTCATTAGAAAAAAGTCGTCCCCTATCTCAATGCCCTCTAACTGGTATATTTTGGCGTCCTAAAAAATTATAGATTATGTTATATTATATTTCTTATATCATTCTCTGGATTAAAAAGTTTGTAGCATCTGAAACTGCTTCTATATGATATATTGAGTTCTCATGTGTCTCACAATCACTGGTTTTGCCATACAATTTCGAAAATTTCTTCAGTGGTACAGTGGTAAGTTTTCCCAATTTAGTTGATTTATGTACTCCTAATTTTGCAAAAACCAAGCAATATTTACAGAAAAGCCCTTGCAGTTCCTCTGAATATGACAGCCAAGGAAATTTCTCAAAGTGTTTTTTTGATAAGTAACATTTCACTTCTTTCTCTCTCATTTTTCAAGTATGTGGAATAGGAATATTTGAGTCATTAGGGATCATTGCACACCTCAATAAGGTATATTTTTCATGGGAAGACAAGTTGCCGCTGAAATTTACATATGGCGCAACATCAACAAAATTGGATCCTTTAGGTTTCGCACCCGATTGTTCAACACTTGGTTCAGCATACGGTGCAGCATCAAGAACTTTTGAAGCGGAAGGCTCAGGTTGAATTGTAGGATTATCATCATTATGGTTGATTATTACTTACCTATATACTATAATTCTTATCTATGTATCTGTTTACTGTGCTTAATTGATATTTATTGATATTTCCTGTAATTGGCTGTATCTGCCTGTTGGAAATAAACATTATTATTATTATTATTATTATTATTATTATTATTATTATTATTATTATTATTATTATTATTATTATCAGGTTTTTCCGGTAATTCTTGTGCCGGTGGATCAGACAGTTTGTTTGGTTTAGAAAGGAACCAATCGATGATATCCTGTTTCCTTTTACTCATCCTGACAGCAGCACCAGTCAACCAGCACTAAAAATTACACAAATATTGTCAAATAAACGGCATTATTGGTTTCCACGCATTCACGTATCTCATAACATAAGTTCACGCAATTTTCAAAAACTAAATATATAATTTGCCATCTCGGACGAACGAAATGCACTGAAGTGCTTATATACAGAGACTTCCGAGACAAAATAGAGCTAGATGATAATGATAGCTGGAGTATGGACCAAACACTTCGTGATTGAAATTATACTAAATTTCCATTTTTCCGTCTGTCATTTTTTTAGACACGATTCTTTTATAGTATAAAAATTAAAAACAAACAAAAATTAATTTTCTGGCTTACGTGTGAGAAATAAAAAATCAATAGAACATAGAAAATAGCGATAATAACAACCAGATCAACAAAACTCCGCTTGTTCACTTCTCAGCCAAATTTTGTTGCAGACTCCGGACTGGTACAGAATTGAGACACTAGACTAGACCATAAAAGACTAGACTATACCTGTTCCAACAGGAAGAAGCGCACACCGTTACTGTTGGTGGGAGAGTAGTCGATAGTCGCATACGCACTGAAAGAAAAACGGTGAAATCGCTCATTTAGATACATGTTTATAAAATAGTGGGAGTGCTACCTTGTTCGCAATGGCGGTTCGGTGGCGGGAGGACACACATGTGAGATAACAAGTTATACTGGGTGATCAAAAAAGCAATGGCAATATTCATAGATAAGGAAATATTTCCAAAGATAAAATAAAAAGTTTCTATACTAAGCATAGATTAAAATGTTCAATTATGAAGATACATGGTGTTCTTCTACTACGCCACTGGCAAAATTGATTGAGGATAGAATCTGAATATTTATATATAATAAAATAGATTAGGTAACATTTTTGGCGCCAAGGATTAGGGTCTATAAGCGAGTCTTTCGGCCCTGAAAAAGTCTTTCAATATCATGGCATCTATGAAATTCTTGCATTTTAATAATCCAAAATATAGGTTTTTTAAGCTTCCATTGAAATTTATCTATTTATTTTAACACTTGACTTTTTGTAAGCCGAAAACGTGCTGCGATGCAGAACAGATGTAAACATAAATGTGTTGTGTAATTGCGTTCACAATAAAAACAGAAGTTCGACTTTTATGTTTATTCTGAGTGCAGTGACGCAATACTTTCATTTTCATATACCTACATATGTTTCGTGTTTTATTATGAATTTGAAGAAGGAACTGTTGTGACCATGCGCTCATAGAAAATAGTGAGTTAAATATTAAACTTTATGGATTTTGGACAACAATACCAAAACTGGAAAATTCATAGGTACCTAATACATTTAGTGAACCCCAAATCGTATCGGGATATTCATGAATGACCGTTAATTACAAAAACACACTATATAGCATTTTCTTGTGACGATAGACTCTCATCACAATTTAGCAAGCTTGAATTTCATAAAAACACTGTTTAAAAGATATTCAGAAAACCGCTAAAATAAAATACTTAGTTACGAATAATAATTTCAAAAAGGTTGATGTTATTCAAAAATTAATTCTAAAGTTGATCATCCATGAGGAGGTTACTTATCCAACTCATTCTTTTTATGTGAACGGTTGAGCAATAAATTGTAGATAAATTTATTTTCATTGTGGTCTAGTGCATTATATTGAACATTCGAAGCATATCATTCATGACTGAGATGCAATCAAAATTCAATTTGTATTCTACAAACATCAAAAACCATTATTCAACGATCTCTCTTTTTCTTGAGGCCAAAATTCTTTAACTTCATACCAAAGTCAGATTTAAAATAATAGAATTGACTAAGTCATTAAAAAACTCAATAAACAACCAAGAAGATCCATCCACGTTGTAGGTACATGAAAAATCAGTATTAAAATCAATAATATTGTATCTATCACTAACATTCACTCTTCTACTTCAGTTATAATTGTCTGGACATTTTTTTCTGATGTCCCCGTAATAATTTAATTTACCGAATTAGGTATATGGTATTTAGATTGTCCAGTCATTGATTGTCCTTTTGGCTTGCACAAACCCAAGCACCAGCAAACTTTTTTGGGTGATTTGTGTTTGTTGTGCAGGACACTTAGGATTTACCTGTACTTTGTTCCAACAAATGTTATTACTATTATTATTATAAAAAGCAGTTAGGTATAAAAGGAAGAAACATAAATGTTGATGAAAGTTTAAAATGCCAAAATGCAATAATTTCACAGATGCGATCAACTTGAAATTTGAGCTGGCCAAAAGACTCGCTTACAGAATCTGATTTTTTCGCTAACCTCGGCATGTTTAGAGTAGACGCATTTAAGTTCTTTATACGGGTTTCACCTTTCACCTCAAATATCCAAAACAATTTTTCTCTCTAAAAGGACTGGCTTGTCTCAAGTCAAATCATGGAATATTAAATACTCCATATTCAAAAATGGGTCAAGTAGAATTACTTCCCATGCATTTGAAACGCCTAGTAGAATCTTTCATGTAGTGCAAGTTAATCCATACACTGTATATCAAAAGGAAGTACGTTTTGTCAAACCACTAATCTATTTGGGCTTTCCATGAAAAAAAAATTTCAAATTACATCATTGAGCATATTCGTACATGGTAGCCTTATTTCTTTGCACCTCTGGTGTAAAATGTTTCATAACTGATTATAACGTACTTGTATACCATATATACTGTTTTGTATATTATCCCAAGAAAGTCATCTCGTTAAATTACATCTTCTAATATAGAGATATTATCGCTCCCACCTCGTATGTGTAATATTGCGTCACCGCTTTCTCCCTGTTTCTAATAGTCACCTGTGAAGACTACCGTCATGTCTAATATCTTTTATCTGCTCCCCGTAAATGTATATGACTGTTTTATCTAATAGATACGGAATAATATCGGCACCAGAAGCTTCTTCATTATGGAACGTCTTTCACTGATACCAAAGATGCTTCCCGGTAGCGCACGGGAAGTGCGATCGATACGCGATGCGTCTGGTAAAGATATTTTTGAGTTTTGAGGAGGAAATCTATGATGTATGCCATATGTACTGATAATCGCGTACAATTACTGTGGTTAGAAGCGTGTAAATATGCTACCGCCAAAAAATTGAGATATATCCTCCCCCACCCCTAACAGCCTCCAACAACTTCAACCCGTCTAAACACTCATCTGAAAATGGTCAGGAACCTCTTAAACGTCAAAGAATGAAGTTTGAGCGATTTCTACTTTGTGGTTCATCTGCACCCAGCTCCACCGCTACTGGACCGATTTTCAAAAACTACATTGCTTTTTTGTTTTTGGCGCAGCAGTAACCTTGTCAGAAATTTCGTCAAAATTCAAGCGGCACCTAGACAGGTCAAGGATTAGCGAACAGATGGACAGACAGGCAGACATAAAGACTGACGAAAATGAGTTACAGGATTATTCGTGATATAGATGTCATTTCATTAAAAGATAATATCTATCCCAGTTTTGCAACTTTTCACGACCACAATATCTCTTCGCCAGTGCTGTAGGAAGTAAAATGCTATATTAGATGTTTCTTAAAAGTCAGCGGAAGTGAAATTATTCTTTCTTCTTTTAAACAGACCAAACCATTCCAGTTACCTCGCAAGTGCTATACAAGTAGCTTGAACCAAATAACTTCAAATTAGTAAAAATAATTGGAACATGCTTCAATCACAATCCCAATAGCTCCTTAGTTTGTACGAATCATGCACATAATGTAAACAACAAACCACTTTTTATGACAGCGACTTTATTATTGAACAGAAGACGAATGAGTACGGGTCACATAATTTTAAGACTACCTATTCATAACCTATGCTAGAACGAAAGAATTGGAAAGTACAAACCTAAGCAACTCTACCTATGAGATCGCTATCATAGCAGAGCCGTAATTTACGTGGGAGGTAAAGGGAAACCGAATTTTACGGTATTGGAATTTAACTTTAGCTTCTGTATTCTTATCAGGATTAGATCGCATGAAATGCAACGCATAGTAGATACTTTCGTAGATCTAATCCTTCATAAAACAGCAAAAAGAAAATCCGGGACCGATAAAAAATCTGAAATCCTATACATAGTTATTTGTTTCTAAGGGAAATAAAGAATTTAATTTGATGTCAGTTACCTTTGTGACAACCTTGGGATAGTGAAAATTAATTATTGATTCAGATTTTACTTCCAAAATGGCTTACACACTAGCCGAAAGAGTGGAAATGATTCAAATTTATGGTACCCAAAATGCTCGGCAAACTGTCACGTTTAACGCCACATATCCGGGGAAGATAACTTTGCATAGATACAGGGTTTGTCCGGAAAGTAATAGGACTCATTTTCTTCCGCCATGACTGTAATTCGGAGCGTGCGCGAACCGACTGGATTCGGTAGAGGGCGTTCCTAGCTAACGAATGAGCGGCTGGTCAGTTGTCTCCGAGCACTTGGAGAGTCAGGACAGGCATTTTCGCGCGACGCGTTTCTTTGAGTGGTGCAAGCAGAAAATGCAGCGTTCGTTAGAGCAGAGGTACGCGATTAAATTCTGTGTGAAACTCGGTAAATCTTCGACGGATACGTTTGATATGATCAAGCAGGCTTACCCAGGTGTTGCTTTAGCAAGAAGTGGTGTGTTTCGGTGGCACCAGGACTTTTTGGAGGGCCGGGAAGAGGTCGCTGATGGAGACCGTGCTTTAAGACCTTCGACTTTGACAAACACCGATAATGTGACTCGTGTGCGCAAAGTTTTTAACTCAGACCATCGACTAAGTATTCGTTTAATTGCCCAGATGTTAAATTAACCAAAATCTGTGGTTCATGATATTGTGACACAGCATTTGAACATGAGCAAGGTGTGCGCGAAGATGGTCCCAAAAGTGCTCACTGACGACCAGAAATTGCGGCTAGTGGAAGTATGCCAAGAAAATTTGAACATGTGTGAAAGTGACCCCCAATTTTTGAGTAACGTAATCACAGGTGACGCGTCGTGGATCTTTGAGTATGATCCCGAGACAAAGAGGCAATCTTCCGAGTGGCACACGATGGCGTCTCCTCGCCCAAAATAGGGAAGAATGAGCAAATCCAAAGTGAAAACGATGCTCATTGTCTTTTTTGACATCAAAGGCATCGTCCACCATGAATTTTGTTCCTCCTGGACAAACCGTCAACGCCAAGTTTTACGTGGAAGTGCTCAGGAGACTCGAACGAACGGTCAGTCGGGCCGACAAGACTTCGCAACCGACTGGAAGTTGCACCACGACAACACCCCGGCCCACACCACCTTTCTTGTGAACAGCTACCTGACCAAAGCCGGCATCCCAACGCTTCCGCAGCAGCCCTACAGCCCAGATGTGGCCCCCCGGACTTTTTTTTGTTTCCTCGCCTGAAAAGTCCGATGAAAGGCAAGCATTTTGAGACGACAGAGGGGATGCAAGCAGCATGCACCGCGGCTCTCAAGGCTATTCCGGAGAATTCCTTCCGTGACGCCTTCAACATCGACGCAGAAGGAGCCTATTTTAAAAGTTTTTAAAGAATTGTAACGATTGGCTCAATAAATTTTTTTAAAACGACTCAGTCCTATTACTTTCCGGACAAACCCTGTATGTTTTGGACCTTGTTACAACATTTATTCAAACTGGATCTGTTGCAAATAAAAAACCTAATCATAGGAGAGTTTTGGATGAAGCCGCTAAAGTTGAAGTCATTTTGGAATAAATCCTAATACTTCATTACGCAAAATTGTTTCTGCGACTGGTATTTCATTAGGCTCTGTACACACAGTGACTAAACTCCATAAATTTCATCCGTTCAAAATGAAAATATAGCAAGAGTTAACCGAAGATGATTTCGATAGGCGAGTTGAGTTTTGTGACTGCAGTAATTAATGATCATTAATGAATACAATTCATGTAAACAATATCTGCCTCAATGGTGAATGCACATTTTATCTAGATGGATTTGTTAATAAGCATAACTGCAGGTATTGAAGCAATGAAAATCCTCATGCTTTTGTAGAAGGGCATACCCAGTACCCCCAAAAAATTAATCTTTGGGCAGGCATTTTAAGAAACAAAGTGATAGGGCCATTGCTTATTAATGGAAATTTGAATGGACATTTATTTGGATATGTTGGAAAATACCATCAATCCGCTTATCACTGGAACCATGGAAAACAAAATCGAAGATGATGGAAACCCTATACTTGATGAGGCTGAAATATATTTCCAGCAAGACCTCCTCACATGTTCTTCCGGTTCGGCAGTGGCTAGACGACGAGTTTCCAGATAAATGGATAGGGAGAAGAATGGCCTGCTAGATCTCCTGATATGACGCCATTAGACTTTTTCCTATGGGACCAAGTATTGGATGAACTTCGTCAACGCATCATCAAAAACTGCCATGATATCCCATAACATGTATTTGAAAATGTCTGTCAGGGATTTGAGCATCGTCTATAACATTGTTTGGCCAATAACAAGCAACATTTTGAACACTTATTGAAATAAAAAGTGATATTTTCGTGTGTTTTTGTTCTCCATCTGAACAAATTAACATAAATAAAGATTTTTCTAATTTTCTTGAAATCGACCAATTGTGAAAAATCAAACGTCAAAATAAAGGACTTCCCAAAGCCTTTCAAACAAGCTATTACTCGATACCCCTTGTCATTCAAAATTTATAAGGGGATGACCCTAGGGGGCAGAGGGTGAAAGTCGGTGAAGTAGTTTTTGGTTAAGAAGTTGTCCTTCTTGACAAATCTTTTGGCGTGTCTCGGCGTTTTGTCTTTTAATCAGTGGTTTTCGATAAATCTGTGGTGGGAAGTTTCCAAATGAACACCCTGTTTTGGTATATTATATGTAGATAAGTGAACTGTTCATGTATAGACAGCTATCAAAATACTCCTTTTGATTGCTTCACGCGATTATTATAGTCATCGTCGCAATACAGTTGGTTTACAGTAGCGTTTTTTATTCAACCTGGTAAACCACGATAAGCGGTCCGGCAATTCTTATGCTCTGCTGTAGTGCTTTTCTCTGTGTATGCGATTAAACACTTTTTTAGCGGCTCTGATATTTTCGCCATTTTAATTAAGAAGAGATCTACCAATCCTATCGGACTACAATACCAGAAGCGTGAAAATCGAGATGAAAGTATTTTTTTTGTTACAGGTCAGATTTAATACCTGGTCATTTGGTTATGAGTGACCCAACTGTGTTATCCCAAACAATATGACATGAAAGAGACTATCAAGTAAAACGAAACACAGGATGCAGCTGTTCTTGTGGTCGGATGGAATTCTTCTCAGGATCGTCCTCATCTCTATGTGTGCATCTACAGGTATGTACTATGCTAAATTCCAATCCTGCTTGTATTTTCTTAGTCACTGGCAACTTCAAACGTATGGGGACTTTCTGCATCTTCGACGTCAAGTCTATTAAATATCCGAACCCCTAGAAAATTTGGCAACCACGCATTTTTTGCGGAAAAGGGTTCCCACAAATGAAGAGTACAGGGGAAAAAAGATGAATGTTACAAAAAGCAGGTTTCGAGAAAAGTGAACTTTCCAAGTTTGAAGACTCATAGACCCGTTTTACAGGGCGGGTCAAAGAACTGACGGAGCACCATAGATTACTTATTATAAGGAGTTGAAAAAAAAGTTTAATTAAAAATATTTTTCTTGATGTACAGGGTAGACCAAAACTGAAAGCAGGCCAAACATTTTTTTAATGGAAAATCCTATTTGTATTTTGAGATTCACCTTATGATTTTAAATATTTTTTGTGTTAGCGTCAATGGCTGAATTCAACTTTTATGAGATATTGAGGTTAGAAATGAGAAATCTAAGGGTTGATTAACCAGCAAAGCGCCTATCTTAGGTATCACAATCTGTTCCGATATGAGAACAACCTTAACAGAAAATTTATTACACAGGGCCTTGAACATGAGAAAAAGGTGATTTTCTAACCTCAATAGCTCAAATACAGAATTATTTCTTTTTTTTCTTAATTGGGACAAGAAAAAATAATGAACCAAAAAAGCTTTATTCAAAAGAATATGGAACAAACAAAACAAAATTAACGGCAACTGCTTAAAAATGATTACTCAACGTTAATTTCTTTCGTCGCAGATTGGTGTATGGTAAATTGTTGTCGTAGATACTAGTTTCGGTGACGATCAGTGAACGTTCATCTTTTTTTCATACAACGGCTGTGACATTCATCTTTTTTTCCCTGCACGGCAAGTTTTGGGTATAACTACGGACTGTTATTGTTTTTGCGTGTTTCCGATACTTCGTGTATTTGTACTGCGTTAAGTCTACATGTTGCCGATTATAACTACAAAACATCAAATTTGTGACATTAATCTTTTTTCCCCTGTACCCTACAAATGTTACGGAAGATCAAAAAAAATTATTTGTCTTCTAAAATGACCTAGATAATCACCTTTGAGGCCAGTTTCATAAATTCATATAGCAACCAACAATTTTTGACAGCAGATTCGTAATCAGCACGGGAATTAATTTTTATCATAGGAGGTTAAACTGCGTAAGGGATACACTTATCCATATGTCGCAAATCTTGTTGCCAAGCACGGTGTGGCTGTCTCAAATCTAGCCGGCCTAGAACAAGGCGTAGAGCGTCTGAGCATTGGAAGATGTCAACACAATCTGCCCGAATATTTATGAGCATTTCACTCACGCTTTGTCATGCTTTGTAGGTTTATTGCTGCGCGGTTTATTAATATTATCCAATATTTCTGCTTAGAACTCGTCCCAACTGTCAAAATTGGAGTTGTTGGCTGTCGTGATGACATGAACCGAGAGGGATGCCACATGCGCGGAACTTAAAATTTATTTGTTGCGCAGTGTACGCACAAAAGAGATGCTCTATGCGCAGCACTTTAAATTTATTTTCTGCGCAATGCACTACCTTACTTCATGATCGAAATTTTTGACTTCATCCCCAATCTATGAGTTTAACTTCCCCTATCGAGTCTTCGTGATTATTATAATACAGGATCAGGCGTAGTGGACTCCGTCATTAAAAGACTATACGTATTTCTAACAACAAATTCGTAACCAGCGACCCGAAAAACACAAGAATACACTTGATCAAGTTTTAGGCTTTTTGCCAACTTTTAGAAATCGGCTGCTGTACGAATTGATAGAAACGTTATACATATATTGAAACAAGACCGTTTTCAATGAGTACTACCACGTGACACTCAATTTCGTGCTATGCTTTCAAAATTCAGTTGATATGGTTAATTAAGGAAAACCAATTTCCAAAAGCATCTTTTACAGGTCCGTATCTTCTTAGGGAAATCCCTATGGTACACTTATTATAAGTTTTTTCAAATTGGTCTGCACGTATCCTAAAAAACCGTGTTTTCTGGAACACCCTCTATATTTCCGCTATACAGTACTTCATTTACTGCCTTTTCTAAATTTTGGCGCAAATACATTTCTTTTATGAATAAATTATAAAATACATAACTCAAAATGTTTAACACAAACAGTTATTTTACGAGTTTGTCAAATATTCATATTAATTACATTTTCTAAACATAAAAGCAATAGATCAATTTATCAAAGTAAAAAAGCAGTGGTAACTATGCTGCTTTTACACTCTGAATGTTACAAGTGCGTCTTCTTACTTTTTATTACCTTCTGGTTCACGTTTACCTATTCAGTTTTATTTAATTTATTGATAGAATTATTTTGTGGAATATTATTATTAAATGCACTTACATAATTATAAAACTGATTTATTAAATGTTGATAAGATTTACTTTTGTGCTATTTATATGAATTTCAAAAAGGATAAATTATATTGAAATAAAATCAATCTGTTATTTTGCATTACCGTGTTTTTCCTTTGAAAAATAATATTAATAAATTATGAAAACTGCGGCAGTCAATTTTGTTTTACAGAGTATGAAACTAGAAAATTACGTTATTGCTTTTTGATTTACAACAATTATCGACCGAGCGTCATTTATTTTAGGCCTCGACAACAATTCTGTTCCGAAATCACATTAAAATAACTCTGTATAATGTCATGTAGTATTGTAATATTCATTTACTTTCGTTCTGACATACTAATACCATTTAAGTAGTTAAAAAAAATCCAGAATTTCATAATCAATTTTCTCAGACTTCAATTTCTCCACTTTACTGCTTTTTGCTTAAGTACGGCACTATTGGTTTTGGATCTATCTATGCATGTAGTCACTCTATTGTTGGGAGGTCGGAAACGATGTTTTTTATACTGAATCAGTCGCGTAGGCAGAAACCTAAATACCGAGACACCGCGACTAATATAATGAATCCAGTATTATATCTATAATTCAACGAGAAAATTTGTCACTATCGCCCTGGCTATAAGATACAACGTAGCAAGATCGTGAAAAGTCAGGCGATATTCTTCGAGAGAAATCCAATAATATCTTTTGATAGTATTTCCTGTCCGCTCCATATAATGTGTGTTATAGAAGAGTACATTTTCCGTTATCTGTTTGAGAAATTACTCGATTTTCGGTACATTTGGCCATTGTGGGAGGTACAATCGCCTATAACACCTTGGGAAACCGCTCAGGATGAACGCCCATTCAATGCGGTGCGCCACGTCGGAAATGCAATCTCCAAGAGAACGATTGATGGAAAAAACGAAAAATGAGTTGGATGATATTTTATACTACTACACCAGCTGGCGGCTCAAATGAAAAATTCACTGTCGTTTAGAAAAGCTCTGTTTTTCCAGTCAACACTTCGTCTGTTCACTTCGCCGACGGTTTAAATACATTATTTCTTACAGAATAAGATAATAGCGCAGAAAAATGGCTTTGCTAGCTCACTCACTTTGACGAATGCTTTATACTTTGTTAGTTCAGATGGCCGCAATACGTTTCTCAGAAGAATTTTATAAAAATGAGGTGTTTTCAATAAAATTATCTTGATCGTCTTCATCGTTAGGACTTACACTATGGTGATAATGCAGGTTGAACGCTTTGGTAACATTATCAACTCCTGTTATACTTCATACAATTTTCAATGTCAAACCTCTTATTATTATTATTTATTTATTATTTGCGGTTAGTACACTGCTCGAACAGATGATTCCATTTAACGAACAGGAAATATACAAAATATAAAAAAAAAAAGAAAAATCAATAAATAACGTATCAAGTACAACATTACACACATTACATCTAAATAAGTTCTTAACCTACAGTCAAAAACGACCTTTTTAAAAGTGATATAGTGCAATGAAAAATGTCTACTAAATTCTTTACTATTTCATAGTTGTTACACATTACATATGATGGTGAAAAAAGTAACACATTGGTACGAGGCACAGGTAAATACAAATTGGTATTGTTAAACCTTAGGCTTTTGGCTCTAAGGGACCGCTTCTCGTTCATAAGGTCAATTGCGGATCAATGGCTTGTAGAGCGCGGAAAGCCTATTAGAATGCCAACTGTTTATCGCCGGATCAACAGTTCTGGATTAACATCCTACCGTCTTCAGTTTGTCCTACCTCTCACTAAGCACCGAAGTGGTCGAGTTGCTTGGTACAGAGAATGGCTCAAATGGGAGCTCGAATAGAATACCATTGCTTTAAGTAACCAAAAAATTGTAATAAATCCATTATGACTGGTTGTTCTTTTTTCACTTAGTAGTATATTAAGTATTCGTGCTACATTCACAGAAAATGTAAGCCGATGTCGGCATTCACTTCGAGGATAATTTTTTCTGGTTTGAAATTAACATCTCTATAAAGGGGCACTCTACTAAGATCCAAATTCATAGAAACCTCCCATTTTATTTTTGGACGTACTTTCTAGGATAGAAATATTCTTCTTTAAATCGCTTATACAGGGTATTCCTTAATGATATGCGAATATTTAAGGGTGTGGATCTACATGATGTTAGTTTGCTTTATAAAGTATGGACCAAAAATGTTTCCTTACAAAAACTCGGGGTGTTGAAGTTTTAGGAAAAAAATAGAAATTAATTAATATTTTCAGGACCGCTTCAGATATTTCACTGATATTTAGTTCGTAGTGAAAGTTAATAGTGGCATATTTTTCAACGCAAAAATAATTTTTAGCTTCAACAGTGGCGTGCGTACTGGTATCGACTTCGATATTTTTTAAGAAAAAAATGGTACGCCAATGTTTTTTTGCCAAATAACAATTATTTTTGAATTCCTCGTTCATTTAAAACAAATGATCTTTCTTGAGTTGCTTTCCTTCGATGCGCAATTTTTGAATAAAAAAATAAAATCCGTTCTATTGTCCGAGAAAATTAATGTAAAAATTAAAGAATGCAATTA